TTGCAGACTGTTGTGTGATACCGTGTATCACACATGTGTTAGCTGAATGAACTTTGATTTCGGTCCAAATAGTTTTTACTAAGCCATTTAGTTAAAACCCGTTTTGTCTAGTTAAAACTAGTTTTAACTGAAATTCATTTTTGACTAGCAGTAAATTCTAGTTTTAACAAAGGCATCCAGTAAAAACTAGTTTTAACTAGTTAAAACGGGTTTTAACTAAAATCGGGTTTTAACTGTAACATATATAAAAAGAACTAATTTTTAAAAAATGCTAGAAATAATAAAATATTTTAAAAGATTGTACAAGTTTTGAGTATTCTGTCCCTAAACTTATGTTTTCCCCATAAGTCCTGTTGTTTTTATTACATGAAATATTATTGTGTGCTTTGTAAGAGGTGCACATACAGTGGTACCTCAGGATAAGAAATTAATCCGTTCCGAAACTGAGATCATATCATGAAAATGTCGTAAGGTGAATCATTTTTTCCCATACAATTACATGTAAAACCAAATAATTCGTTCCAGCATGAAAAACACACTCAAATTAAAGCTAAGTAGTACATTTTAAAAAAATGATAATAACTATAGTAAGGAAAACACTGAAAAATGCATTTTGTAGTTGTAAATGTATAAATAACCATAATAGAATAATAATTGATTTTAAAAAAATGTAGTTTTATTTGCACTTTACCTTTGAGGATAGACGACGGTGGAGGTGTTAACTGGTGGCAAAGGAGAGCGAGAAGGGAAATGATACTAAAACTTAACTTACATATGTAACAATAACTTAAAAATAATTTAACACTAATTTTTTAACTTTTCTGTTTTATATATATTTTTTAAATTTTTTATTCACTGCTTTCTGCCGTCTTTCCTTCATTTCCACCAACACTTTCACTGGATAGAGGTCACTTGGTAAAATATCTATCCAAAGAGGTTTGGCTTTGCCTACTTTTTAAAATGTTTCTAAAATGACTTTGGCAAATGTCATTACTCCGAGCAGCAATACGGCCAGTGTGAATCTTTTCGGGATGTTTCTTTTCAATAAAATCAGTCACTTTTTGATAATACCTCAAGATTTCCTTTATTGAGTGAGATCCTTCCACGATGAAGCGAACATGCAGACTGAGACCAATGAACAGAAGTGAATAAAAAATGGCACTGCAAACTAATGTAACATCATATGGTGAGGTTTTGTTCGTACTGTGGAGCAAAATTATGTTCAAATTTCATGTCGTATCCTGAAAATTTCATATGCTGGGGCGTTCGTATCCTGAGGTACCACTGTACTATGTTACAAGAGAAATTTATTGAGTGCAACTTAAATCAAGCCTGATAAGCTTAATTACAGTATTTTTATGCTATAGGAATACTAAGAGTGATATCCATAGGAAAAAAAATTAAACGCAAATTAACTAATTTAAACCTTTGAGTAGCTATCCGAACAACTTGATTCAAAACAGTGTCATTTATTTTATTATTTCAATGTCTTATATCAGTTCTTGACATTTTGGATGGGATCCTGGAATTGCATTTTCTACCATTCATTAATGTTTCACAGATTATTACATAGTGTGGAAATTCAGCATAAGCATTCATGATATGCACTGTAGAACTGCAGCATTACCAAAGAAAATAAAATCACAAAATAATGTCTCAATTTTTATTATGTAATTACTATGTCAAGTTATTATACATGATTAAAATCAATTTTTTTAAATCAAAACCAGTTCTGATTAGAATAGTACAGTAGATCCCCCTATAAAACCGTTTCCTATAGTTATGATTCCTATAAAAATTGTGGCAGTATCCGTAAACAACGGTAAAAATAACTCCTATAATACGTAAAACGTCATCGGGCAGCCGAACTACTTTCCCGCCGTCCGTAGCGCCACGCTACGGACGTTTAGGCGGATAAATTGAGTTTAGTATCGTCTGTTCATATAATTATATATAAATTAGGTACTGTACATATAATTATATATTAATTATATATAAATTAGGTACTGTATATATAATTATATATTAACTTAATTTATTGTAACTTTATTATAATTAAATATATATTTTTCGCCGTCTAGCGTCACGCTACGGCGAGTTAGGCGACCTATCGTCTGTTTAGTACTGTAATTTTATACATTTCTTGTGAAAGAAACATTTCTTATTTAACGGCCATAAAAATTATTTATATTAATGATGTCTCCAAAGGTCAACGAAGTTTTCGCAGAAAAATAATATCAGAAATCGCGGCCGCAATTTGATGCGCTGTTCCGCGACGAAACCAAGCTTTAGCAACGGGCGTAGTCGAACGGTACACACTCGGTAAGCAATCCTACAATTTTTTGTTTATAAC